GCAAGGAGAGAGGCCTCAGAAGAAACCAAACTTGCCAATATCTTGATCTTGGACATTTAGCCTCCAGAACTGTAAGAAAATTAACTTTTGCTTTTTAAGCCACCTAGTCTGTAATATTTTGTTATGACAGCTTGAGCAAAATAATACAATATGCTAAGAGAGGAGAGAAAATGGAGTTATATAAAATGTTCCATTAAAACCAGAGAAGGCAGAAGAAAAGTGAAAGACAAAGAAAGAAAAAGACCAGTGAATAGAAAACAATAACAAAAATCGTAGATATCAGACTGACTATACCAAGAGTCACTTTAAAGGTCATGGTCTAAATACATCAATTAAAAGACAGAAGCTATCAGTGTGGATAAAAAGAAATGTTATCCACAAAATTATGCTGGATCCAAACATGGGAAATAAATATAAATTAAATGAAACAATGGGAAGAAAAGGTAGATAATATCTAATAGAATAAAAAAGAAACTCTTAGGTTAGAAACCTTACAAGACTATGCGCTCCACAAGAGTTGTCCCAAGTGCCTACAATAGCAGTTGGAACATAACAAGTGCTTAGCAAATATTTGTGAATTAATACATGAATTTGAAAATCTGAAAAACAGTCAAGAACCTAATGCATGTGATCATCCAACAACCACCATGAAATCAGACATTTACTCAAAAAAATAAAGGTTATTCCTCAAAACAGTCCATTAAATGTTCCCATGCCTTCACTTTGTGTTTTCTTGTTCAGTGTTTGCATGGCCTGCCTTGTATGAAGCCATTAGAAACAAAAAGAAATTAAATAAAATGTAGAAAGAAACACTTTCAACTCTAATCTCCCTTTCCATTCTCTCTACATATTCAAGTGACAAAGAGAGGAGGCCAGTGGCATGAAACATTTTTCTACTACATGAATGATCTTAAACACACATACACACACACACACACACACACACACATATGCAACAATGATGCTTCAAAATACTACATGGAGCTTTTGAGTTCCAGACTTTTTCTTGCAGCAGAGTCAACCTAAATGTTGGTTAAAAAAAAAAAAAAAGGGGGGGGAATCTAGAAATTTAAGAAAAACAGTTTTCTTCAACCAGATAATTCATGAGTTTCCAATGTCTTATCTACCTGCAAATAGCTATCTAAAATAATGTAAATTGTTTTTGATACTTTCTCCTCTATGAGTTTTTGAAAGTTTAAAATATCCTAGGCTACAAAATTACTTATTCTAGAGACATAAGTTTTAGTCTTAAAGTAAAAATATGTATAGGAATGGACAGCTTGCTTATAAAACCATGTGCTAGAATTTAAAAGGACAAATCTAGATTTTTTAAAAGCTACCTTAATTTAAAAATCTATACTTGGCTGCTAACAACATGCAATTAACACCCCCTTAAAAACAAAGGAATTAAACTGCGTGGCATTGAGTTCTAATTATGGTTTATAATTTAAAATGAAAAAGTCTTACATAGTCAAAAAGGTATCAGGGAGCAGTTTAGATTTTTCCGAATATAATTTCTGAAATGAAAGTCTGAATATGTTTTGTTTAACAAGTTATATCTCCTTTATTAGGACTGTACTGATTGAGAGTTTCTGATTTTTCAATCCGCAGATATGCAAAAGTTTGAAAACAAGTTTGCTCAATCAAAATACTTCATCAAATAGAATGTTTCACGTGAAGATGGATGCTACTAACCATAAATGAACCTCGTCTTTTTATTATATCATGCTAAAAGTATCTTCTTAATAGTTTAAGCTATTGAGTACTTGAAAGATAAATCACATAAAAATTCTACAATTTAGGTTTATCATTAGTCTCACTCTCCTTAGATAAGTAATTTTTTTTAAGTTTTAAAGAAGACAATAAAATTAATTTCTAAAATGGCTTCACTCATTTTTCTTGAAAGAACATATTTATGAAATAACACTTTTTTTGTTGAAATGAGAGTTGTCAGCTCTGTTAGAGCCAGTAATAAAGGGCCAATCCCTTCTTGATGTTGGCACTGTCTCATGGACTTACCTAAGGATTTTAACAATAAAAAGGGATTAAAAGACAGTTTATATTAGTTGGTTCTATTACTGGGGTATGGTCTGTTGGCTCAAATGTATGTTGTCTACAGCAACAAGAAACCTATCTCACTCAGACACATATATAAATCGATGTGGACTTTGGGGCACCCTGAAATACAACGTGATCAGAATGTTAATAATAAAAGAATAAATATATTTTCTCTTTTTGTCCATTAAATTAATATATACTTAATGCCTGTCGTATATAAGAAAGTGTATTGTTGTTAGGACATAAAAATGAAGTTGACACCCTTTCTGACTCAGTAACAGGTTTATACAAACAACTATAAAATAAGGCAATAATATATGAAAAGTGCCAAGCAACTACTACACAGAATACAATGGCATTCAAGAATATAGAAGAACATTTCCAGCTGGGGTAATCAAAGAAGGCTTCATGGTAGAGGTGGTATTTTAATTGGGCCTTTATTTGTTCATTTGACAAATGTTGAAATGCATACTATGTTCAGGTAATATGCCAGGTGCCAGGAAAATAAAATTAAAGATGAAATGGATTCTTTCATTTTATTATGTGATAAAACTCAAAAATGTATATGTATATATATGTATGTGCTCAATTATGTACGTATGTACGTATTTACAACTAAACAAAGTATAAAATAATGACAGCACTCTTGAAAAATGGGTGGATTTCAACAAAGAAGCATAACCCCCTTCAATGGCTCCCTGAAACCTTTCTGAAAAATTTCAACTGCAAAAATAGTCTCAGGTTTCCTTATGATTAGGCCTCTAAGCAAATACCTTGGTGACTTCCTCTACTGTTTCTTTATCATATCTACTACATAGATATATTCTATTGGCTATTCTATCCTTTCCTATTTTTTTCTCATCCTTTCCTTTCATTCATCTATCCATGTATTTACATATTAATTGAGAGCCCATTGTATGCAAGGCAAAGTACAGATACACAGCACTGAACAGGAGAAACAGGGTTCCAGCTCTTGTAGAGTTACATTCAATAGAAGGATATAGATATTAAACTAATTAGACTGGTAACTACATTTGATGTATGCTACAAGGGAAAAATACAGGATTCTATGAGGATATAATGGGAGTTTTAGTCCTTTTTTCCTTTGAGGTATTTGACTTCAAGTGTAGTAAGTAACAAATACCCTACATGCCTTGGCAAAATGCAAGCACGGCAAAGGATGCTAGATAAACCCTTAAGACATTCAGGGAACTGTCACCATAGTGAAACTTTTCAGAGTCCAGTTGTCTGGGACATGCCCCAATATTTCTACCAATATGAAGGGCAAGCTGCTTCATCTTATACACTCTACCACTGAGAAAGACACACGTGGGCTTTTCTGGATTCAGGAGATAATATGTACTCTATTCAAATGTTCTAGCTTCAGAAATTTACTGAGTAACTCACATTTTTTAATGGATCCCAGAGCTTCTATGCAAGCTGATCTTGGGCCATACGATCCAGAAGATCCAGTAGTAGCAAAAAATAATTCTTTTAAATGTCATGGATTTGGAGGGAAAGTCTGTCCTCTTCTAATGATAAATATTATCCTTTTGAGAAACAGTTCTGGGTTTGCTACTGGGCTTTCATGACCAAATACCTGACCATGGGACACCATGTAACCATGTAACATGAGCCGTCCATGGTGAACTGTTCAGTATAACACAAGAGGATACAGAAAGAAAAAAAAATTGAAACTAGGCAATCATGCTTATAGTTGACATCTAGGTGACAGCAACACTGAACCTGAAATAACTTTACAAACATTGTCAGGTCAGTAAAATTTATTAGCTTGGCCTACTTTCAATTTCTGAGACATGCTATGTAAGCTCTTTTCTTCTTAGGGACTTCACACATACTGTTTCCACTACTGCTGAGGCTTTCCCTCTGCTTTTCACAGAGCTGGTTCCTTCCTATTTTTCATGTCTCAGCTTAAATATCACCACCTGGAATAGGTTTCCCTGACCACACTGTCACACTGTTATCATCTAGCATGGTACCTTGCTTTACCTTTTGTGTCATGTATAACAATTTTTCATTATACATTTTTCTGTTTCTTGAATACTGTGTATCCCACTTTCATTAGACTAAGTCTCACAAGAAGGCAAGAACAATGTCTGTTTTTCTCACCACTGTATACCCAGCAGCTAGTACAGTCTCTTATACACAATAACATTCATTAATATTTATGGAATATGGAATAAATGTGTACAATTACTTGAAGTCTCATCCTCTCAAAGGTGGTATTTAGCTTTCTCCTCCTATGAACCCAATGTACAACTTTTTGCACTCATTTTTGCACACTGATGGTGATTTCAGAGACTCACCTTAGAAATTAAAGTGCCTAAAATCAGAAGTTAATTGGAAGTTACTTTTTGGCATTCCTTCCTAAAACTCAGACTGTCAATCTCTACAAATACTATACTACAAGTTAGAGCATAATTCAACATTTAACAAAGAAAGTTCATCATTTCCTATAGGTGATTTTGGACTAATGTTAATTTTGATAAGTTTCAGAGGTGGCTTAAAACATGGAAACAGGAAAAAACTGAGAAATAGGTATATTTTTATTACAAAATTTCTGAGTTGAAAAATTAGCTTAGGAAGTGAGATGAAAGAAGAGGAGATATAGGCCTGTCTTGCTTTTAGGTAGTTATTGAAGAAGTCTCAGACAAAACTTCTATAGTAAAAATGAAGCTTTACTACCTTCCTAAATTTTCAGTTATGACTTTGTAACCTAAGTCTATGGTTTTCATTATTGTCATATTTACACTGAAGAATAAGAAAAGCATAAAGCAAAAAATAACTCCTTAAGAATGTACTCATATTTGGGTACTTCTTCCACTTAGTCATCCATTAAATGGTATATTATTAAGAAAATTCCTACAATACTTTGACATCTTCAGTACATGAGAAATATTGATTCCATCATGGAGACATACCTATTTCCCTATCTGTTTCCATATGCAAGTCCTGGATTGGCTCTTTTTCTCTCCAGACATTTTTCTCCTGTTCTTTTCTGAAGATTACATCATGGGTTTTGTGGGCCCCTGTGGTAGGAAGAAGAGGATAAAGGAAAAGGATGAGATTTTGGAACTATCAAATGTCATGAAAAATAAAACACCACTTACTAGGCAACAAAAACCGTATTATGCAACTAGTATCTTCACTACTGTATCATAATGGATTCAAACATCAGCATTAACTGGTCATTTAAAGTCATCTTCCTGATTAGCATCTTTATAACATTTACCTGTCAGGTTAAAAAAGGTTCATGTTTTAAGTAGGAGATTAATTACATAGCAGTATAATTCTCTTTAGAAATATTAAACAATAGAGTTTCATTTTGAAAGTCAGTATTTAGCTTAGCCTTAGTTTACCATTGTGCTTCAATATTAATTTACTTGTAATGATATAGTATTTATTCATAGAAATAATAATAATTTGCATAGTGTTTCACAGTTTTAAGGTATTATCACATGCACTTTCTTATTGTTATCTCAACAATTACAATAATGAAGTACTACAGGGAACAATATTCAATATCTTATAATAACCTATGATGGCAAATAATCTGAAAATAAATATAACTGACTTTGCTGAACACCTGACTAACATATTATTGTAAATCAACTATACTTCAATAAAAAATAAATAAGTGAACTTTCTGGAAAAACAAGAATAATGAGGTGCTAGATATATCAATTAAGTATAAGAACAGATGGCATTTGCATTCATGATTTTGTGACCTTAAAAAAAAGTTCTTGATCATATATGAAGTTTTGTATTTGGTAAAATAAACCTACAAACTGAGGCAAAAGATACACCAAAAGTCCCCTAAGTTTAATGTATGTGTCTTTTTAAATTCATTTATTAATTTCCATTCCTTTTCTTGAATTAGTCTTGAATAAGAACTTTAAAGATAACATTGAAGAAGTCATTGATATTGTGATTTCCTGACTAGTATTATATTTCTCTTCTCCTATTTGTTTGTAAGTTCTTGGATTTTAAATTTAAGGATAGCAACTACGATTGAGGTTTGGTATACTATATAAGTATATAGTTAGTCACAATGGTAATTTATAATGAAGCACTTAAAATTGAGCATTTAATTTTTTTAATGGAGGAAATAAGCTTGTTGTTTTTGTAATAGTAGCACAGGGTACAAACACGTTTAATACTATTTATACTCTATCTTGCATAATGTTACCATGGTAAAATGGACTTCAAATCCAAATAATGGAGTAAATAAACAATATATTATAGTGATAAAAGTAGAATAATACAGAGCAAAGATAGAAACAGATTATAAGACCATCTCTAACTCTTCACAAAAGTAACTACAATTGACCCTTGAAAAACATGAGTTTGAACTGTGTGGGTCCACTTATACACAGATTTTTTTCTTTCAGTAGTAAATACTATAGTACTATGATTCAGGGTTGGTTGAACTTCTGGAATACTGAACTACAGATAAGGAGGAATGGTAACCAGGGATATGGAGGGCCGACTGCAAGTTATACATAGGATTTTGAGTGTGTGGACGGTCAGCTTGCCAAAATTTCATGTTGTTCAAAGGGTCAATTGTACAAGTCTTGTCATTAAAACCACCTTGGTGTCTTCTTTCCCACCAGCACGCTCAACACATACATTAGGTTTTACATTGTAGAAAGTTTGGAACATTCAGAAGAATATAAAGAATGTAATTTATGGGGCTTAATTATTTCCAGTTCTATCATATGGAGATAAATATTAACATTTTAGTTTATACTGTCCCAGTCATTCATATACATATACATATATTTATATTGTGTACACTTTGTTTTCATACTTTATGGCTGTTATGAGAAAAATTTAAAAATAAAATTTTTCTTTAGCCAGTAGGGCCTCCTCCTTCCCTTTAGCATGTGTTGTTAATCTGCATTAGCCACACCTCCTTAGGAGATAATGTTTCTTCTTAACAACTCCTTAAGAAATAAACTTGTAAGGGGCCATGATCCACGATCCACTACTTGTTTTGTACGTGTAGCTCTGTATTATGTAAACTGTCAATGATACATCATTTGCCATATGAACATTTGCCTCAAGAACTTATATAACTGTTCTTTAAACTCTAATGAGTGGAACAGTTCTCAGAGCTTTCTGAAAGACTGTCTCCTGGGTTAAATCTTCCATTTCTTTCTTAGATTGACTATTGATTAATTTTTTGTCAACATATACATAAAATTAGAGTTGTCTTGAGTGCTTTTTTGGTACTCGTTTTTGTCATTACATATCTCCTCATCATTAAATAGTCTTGTAAAATATGAAAGGCATAAATTTGGGGGAGTATGGGAGGAGTGTCAAAATACATTCACAGTCACGTGAACAAAAATTAGTCATGATCACTTAAAAATCAATACACCTATAAGAAAATTAATATGCATAAGAGATAGTTGGCTAATTAAAAATATATCCATGTTTTTATTAACATATACTTTAATTTTTTTCTTATATTACAAGAACTGTATTTTGTTCTTCGTGTTACTTAGAAAGTAAAATTCTCCTATAAGTGTACTTCCCTCTAAGAGTTAAGTATATGTTCTCCTAGTTATAATGTGCTTTTAAATGACTACACAGTATTTCATCACATGGATTTACTATAATTTAATCAACCTCAATGGTGGGCATTTAAGCTACTTACAATAGTTTACTATTCATGTGTATTTTGCAGACCCCTGAACATAAATCTTTGAGTCCTTCAACAAAATCATGTTAAATTTATCTTACTCATGTATATATAATTATTAAAGTCACATGAATTTCAATTCTTTGAACCTCAGCTTCTTTATCTGCAAAATTAGGGGGTCAGATCAGAGTTCTAGTATGCTCCAACTATAAAAATACTTGTGTTCAAAACATAGTAGATCTTTAATAATCAGGTGAAACAATTTGTGAACTCTTAGAAGAAACATGAGACAAAATTCATGCCTCTCAAAGGAATACAAATAGGGTGTGTGTGCGTGTATGTGTGCATATGTGGGACAGGGACAAACAGAATCATACAGAGCACTTATTTTCCTGTAATATCACTTTCACTTCAGGATTTAGGGATAGTTTTTTCCCCCTTTCTTTCTGTTAAATATATTAGGGTTAAATACAAAAGTCACACTAATTTTCAAGATAAAAATAAATTATTTGAAAAAATTTTTCTGAGTGTGTCCCTTTGAGCTCTGCCCCAGGAATCAGGATGTATTTCCCACTTTTATTATGCAAGACTCTGATTAACTGAAGAGGAGGAAGAGTTATCAGTGAACTCAAACCATTTGAGAACTGTATCACATTTTTAGAGTAATTAGGACATTTGAAGTAGTCTTTGGCCTTGGGATCTAAAAACAAATTCACTCCACTGCCTCACTGAGAACTTGTCAATGGATTAAGGTTTGTCTGACTTTACGAAATCAAACCTGTCCCATCTTGCTTTTCTACAATTCTATGCAACTTCTATCATTTCTCTTAGAACCAGAGGGCCAAGGTCTAGCCTTTCTCAACATACTTACAGGGAGTATTGATCACTGGATATAATTTCTCACTCATTGCTTTATAATTTTGTATCTAGTGGATGGTTTTTACTTTCACAATCATCAACTCTACTTCAAAAGCTCCACATATGTTCACATTAAAAAGACCATAAGCTTGCTTTAAAAAAAAAGTCTTGAAAAGATAAGACTTCAAGGATTAAGTAAAAAGAACTGGCCAAAAGCAGCTAGATTTTTCCAACACAGAAGGATGAAGGAAAATCTGATATATAAAAAGTTGAATTATGGCATTTCAAAATAAATGGACTAAAAAGCCAGTTTTTCTTATAAAAATTACTTGCTGCAACGTAAACAGCTAGTAAGAGCAAACCTTGTCAGGGACTTGGTTTTTTAACTTCAAAATTAACACGCAACGTTCAAAGGACACGAAATGATGTGCAAGATGACGTACACTCGAAGTAGAAAATCTAAAAAATAGTTCTGTACTTCTACTCCCTTCATGCTGACAGCAAGTAACTTTACTTTTTCTGCTTGTAATCCACTTATTAAATTTTTTAAATTAACTTTTTTAAAACGGCTGCTCAGTGGCCAAAATTGGCACACAGATACAGAAGATCACCAACAGGGTCCCATCGGGACTCATTCCGCCACGAGTCTCTGGGCCGCCCCATACCCTCAACTGAAAAAAATGAAGAGAAAAAGCTCTCAGAACGCCCAGGAACTAACGGCTAAAAAGGACTCTCCCTCTCGGTTAAACTTTCTTCCAGAAGCATTCTGGGTCCTGGCTCGTTTCCTGAACAGCTGAGAGAGGGTGGTCTGGGCGGGGAGTTGAGGCCAGTCTCTTGGCTCTGGGAGTGAGTGACCTTAGGACTCCTCCCTCCTCGGCTTAGAGTGGAACAGAAACAAAGATAAAATGTATAAAATAGCGACCTGAGGTAACTTTGCAAATGAATCTGCAGCATTTTCTCCGACGCTAGAAACCCGCTTGTGAGAAGAAGTCGGAGACCAAGGCCGGCCGCCTCAAACCAAACGAGGACTACACCCTGGGCGCCGGCAGGCTGACCCGGAAGTGCTCGGCGGCGGCGGCGGGGGCGGGGGTGCGGCCAGGCCGGCGCACACGCGCGCGCTCCCCGCGGAACTCCCGCGGGCGCCTCGGCGCTCTCCTGGAGGCGCGCCCGAGCCGCCGCGGCCGCCGCCAACATGGCCGAGACGAGCGAGGAGTGGCGGTGCTGGTGCAGCGGGTGGTGAAGGACATCACCAACGCCTTCAGAGGAACCCGCACATGTGAGTCGCGCG